TGCAAGACATGTGAAGTTGTCAAGGACCTCTACTCAAGCAGATGTAGGAACTGATATTCAGAACTTTGCATTTAACTCATTACTATACAGGGGTTTCATTAACGTTTTCACCAGGGAGGGCGGAGGGGGCAACTGGTTTTCAGAGGCGGGCAAAATGTTTTGAACAGAACTTTTTTTATAAGAAAACTTTTCCTCTAGATAACCAAACCAGGTGGGCAAAATCATCCAGTCACAGCCGTTCAGTTTGTCTGTTGCCCAGCCCTTAATGAAATCCCTTTTTATATGATATTTACTTTTTATCTTTGGATGTATCTAGGGAACCCTGTAGAGGTTGCAGATTTTTTGTCAGGGTCTAATCGGGTTTAAATTTGTTGCGACTAGCTGCATTGAGGCTTGGGGTTGAGTCATCCAAAATCAAGATGGCACCTATTCCACTGATGTGACTCTCATGACATTTCCTAATTGGTTGAGGTGTGTGCGAGCCCGAACAAATTGTCTCAGTCCACCGGACACTGGCCGACAAGGCCTGACAAGATGTTTTGAGATCTAGCACTGTTAGATATCGCCTGGCAAGCCCCAATATTGTTGCAGACTTGTCTGAATTCACCCCACACTAGCTGACAAGACAGTGAAGATTTTTTGACGGCCAACAAAAAATCAGCTAGTGTGCGGCGGCCTTAACTATATGGATTTAAAACAGGTTTAATGCTGAGTAACGCTGTATATCAAACATACGAGAATGTGTTTTATGAGAAGAGAGTTGGAGATGCAACATGAAGAGGAGAGTATTTTGGGTACTTCAAGATATTTGGAAAAGTGGTAAAACACAGTCAAATAATAAGTTTGATGTACCTTCTCAATCGAAACTGCAGAGTTCTTAGGAGAAAATGGGGAAATAAAATCTTAAGCATCCATGCTAATTCAGATCAGATATCCAAACACTGTCACAGTTTGACTTCCTTTGTTTAAACTTGATGAATTATTAATGACTTTGAGGATGGCAAGTCTTGGTGGCCAATTGTACTTGTACTTAATTCAAGTTTACATAGTGTGAGAAAGTGATTCAGTTTTACAAAACTTTACTGGATGGGATGATACATAATTACTCTGGAGTAAGTACTTTAAAATGATAATTCTCTCAGCATTTTCAATAGCTTGGTGAAACAATTTGATTTCATCCATTATTCAATACAGTTCTGGATGGAAAGAGGCTTCATGAAAGCTCAGTTTCTTGCCCGAGAACACAACAAAATGACCCTGGTAGCACTGATATGCCCATACTGATCAATTTTAGTCCAACATGATAACTTAAAGAGTTTGTTCAAGGTTAAACCGTTGACATTTTGAGCAAGTTACTTCTGTGTACTCACAGTGTTACACTTCTACCCTAAGGTTCTCAAAGCTGTGGATGAATTGAACAAAGATTCAACGATTCACGGCATCATTGTACAGCTCCCCCCTGATTCTGTGGAGCCAATTGATCCTGCGATTTGCACAAATGCTGTTGCACCAGAGAAGGATGTTGATGGGTAAGGTTTCCTCTGCACTGTACATGCTAGTATTGGATTTTGTTAAACAGAATTAGAAGCCTTGACAGTAATTATTATTGCTCCACTAGAGGCTCAGTAAAATGTCTGATGGTTCCTTTTCTTCCTTTACTTCATGACATCATATTGAAGATCATACACACATGTATTGTGCATGCTGATTAATTAAGTGTTTTACTATATTATAATTGCCCTGCTGCCCATCTGTTTATGTTAGCTTTGGAGTCTCTGTAGTTTTCCATGTGTGACTGAGAAATGTTGTGGGGTGTTTTGTTGCTTGTGAAATAGTGTTGTGTTCTCCTGGTTAATTTAAGACTAGTTGAATTGTGTATAGTTCTTTGTTTTGAAAATGGTTTTTGCTTTCTTGTTTTTTCAGGTTACATGATATAAATGCAGGGAAGCTATCGAGAGGAGAGTTGGATGACTGCATTGTCCCTTGCACTCCCCGAGGATGCCTGGAGTTGATCAAGAAATCAGGTATTTACCCATATTTAATGGCTGTACAGTTATTTCATTTACAGTATCTCCTGGTTAGAACTAAAAAAAAAAAAGGAATTGGGGAGCTGTAATGAAGCTTTTATTAAACATCACAAATTACACGTAAGCACCCATAGAAAATAAAGACCAAATCCTCGTTTAAAAATAATGTCTTTATTATAATATCATATAATTATGATATTAGAGATGTGAATCACATGGAACTGGTAGGTCCTAATTGCTGTCAAGCCTGTTTGTCTTTTTTCGTAACCACATACATGTTAAATTAACTCTGACGATCTCTTACATCATACCATAAAAAACGTATCTGAGAAATGAATTAAAAAAGCCTACACATAACATTATTTGTCAGGTCCCCAATACGTTAGCACAAGTTCTTTGTGTGTTCTTAAAAGATGGGATACAGACAAGCATGAGGGGTGAAATTACCGGGGAAGCAAGGAAGGCACCGGAGGGGAGTTGGGTTATTGGAGGTGGAATTGAATTACCATGTGTTTATTACATTTATGGGAGCAAGAAACACAAAGTGCAAGTGGGGAAAGGAATACGGAAAGCTCAGAGTTCATTGTAGGGAGGCCACAAAAAATCTGCATGCATGGAAAACTGCTGGATTGTAGCAAGCTGTTTGCTCTGTTACCGTGCTCCAGAACATTGTTGTTGAACAGTTGTGTTGTCAATGGACAGTGGATTGCATGAAGATTTGTTTCTTTCTTTGGTATTGTTATAATTATTGTTCTAAAGTCCACAACCACTTGTTTATGCCTACTTTCAAATACAAATTTTGATGTTTGTAATGAAATGCAGAAGGAGCACACTTTTACATTAGATGAGATGATATCTGGGAGGGGGGTTACTGTATATCCAGGGGATGGGGCTCATATCTGGAATAATACCTTTGTTAGCAAATAGTTGGGCTTATATCTGGGGGGCTTATAACAAGGGGGGCGTTAAAGTGGGATTTTATGGTATCTCTCTTGTAGTTCAAATATGTGATATTCCATTTTAAATGAACATGCATGACTTTGTTCATCTGTTGTCATATGATCGCTACATGTTTATGTAGGTTTCATTACATGTAACACAGTGCCAAGTAGTGATGGTATTGTCACAGGCACAGCAGTTTGTCCGCTGAAACAATTAACAGCTTTAGAACCATCAGAGCCTCTTCAGATCACATTATTTAGAATTAGAGTGCACTGGTTCTCAAATCTAGTATTTAGCCAGGCCAGGGTGTTTTTATTTGTAGTATTCTAATTCAAACCTGTCAAACAGGTATGGAGATTGTTGGAAAAGAGGCCATAGTTCTGGGAAGAAGCAAAATAGTGGTAAGTCAACCCTTGTACATGATCGCTGATACACCTGACAGGGTTTGATAATTATGGAAATCCAAGAAAATCAATTGAAATGTCAAGATTTCAAAATCCAAGCCTTAAGACTTGCGGAAAGTCATGGGAAATTTGATCAGGACTTGCCTAAGCACGCCTAAGCACAACTAAGCTACAATGGGCGACAAAAGTAGTCGAGACACTTTTAGGAAATGACGCTTTTTGATATTTAAACACTTGCTCTATTTTATTTTCATCTAGCGTTAATTCTCTGACACCCTTGGCCCCCCAATGCATTGTTGTGTCGGCGCTGGGGTTTGTGCAGTCTCAGAAATAGAAAAATCAACATTGTTTGGGGGGAAGGGGAGAAAATGTGTCCAAGACACTCGAAAATCGAATTTCACTGCCAAGTGTCTCAACACTTTCGTCACCCATTGTAGTCTCGATTTGCAGTAGAAAATGTAAGCTTTCAACTGTAAAGTCTTGATCTGGCTCCATACATGTATTTACTATTTCATAGCTACATACGTCAATGAAGCAGGCCATGGCATTTCATGGTTTCCAAGGTTGTAGAATTTCTTACTTTGTTTTGTAGCTATTTGAGTTTTAGGCTATGTTCACACTAACACAGTACCTGAGTATGATTCTGGCTAAGCATTCATGTGAACAGACCATTACTTTTTTCCAAGTACTCACACCAGAATTCCGGCACAGAACCCTTGTCAGGGCACAAGGTCTCCACCTTGAACTTAGGCACTAAACACTGCTTGGGTACATGGAGTACCCAGTGTCTGAACAGAACATTATTTTTTGTCAGTGCCCAGGCACCAGTGCTCATCCGTCTTTTAGCCAGAATTTGAAAAGTGGCCATCCAAAATGTGTTATAGGGCCTGTTCAAATGAGCAATTTATAAGGCAACATATGAAAAATAAAACAATTTATTTAGAAAGTGGCTGTCTACAGGATGCCTGGGTACCCAAAGGCACCCAGTGTGGACACAGCCTTAGTTATTGTTAAATTCACCATTCTACAGTGATTCATGTATAATAATAAAGCCATGTTTAAGAAATGCACAATCTTGCAGGGTTCACCCATGGCAGATCTTCTCAAATGGCATCATGCTACAGTGACAACATGTCACTCAAAGACAAAAGACTTGCCAGATGTGGTATGTAGGCTGTGTGGAAAAATAATAATGTTGCTGTAGAGCAAAACTAGACCAGCATGGGGTTACACAAGAAAAACAGTTCAAATATCCAAATTGTGGTTTGAGTGGGCTCCCTTATCTGCTTTACAGAAAACTAGGAAAGAACATTGCCTTTACAATCAAATTCTATACAAACTGTAGAGAAGGTCATACGAGTACTTTTCCACCACAAGTCCTTAGTGGGATGCAATTTAGCCATTCATATCCCAGAAATTGTGTTTCTTTAACCAAAGGTAATGATATTGAATGAAATTTTATGAAATCAGACTCTACTGGATTATAACAATTCAAAAAAAGAGAGAGCAGCTAAGTTGAGAAAATAAATATCACTGTTTACCTGGGATCAGTAAGTGTAGTCTTATTTTTTGTTTCTTGTTTTATTTTGCCATTTATAAAATAATGACAACACATTGATGTATATTGGGCAAGGAAGCCCTGGGAAGCCAATTAAAGGCCTATGTAGAGGACTTCTTAAAACAAGAGAATAAAAATGCTGTCATCAGCACATAAAATGATCATAATTTAGGCCTTAAGTAAAACTAAATGCGCAAATGTGCAAAAGCAAAGGAAGGAAAAAACGGAAAAATCACATTCAATAAAATACATGTATACTTAAACCAAGAAAGATGACTTATGTTTAGAGGTCAACACGACAATACAAGAGACATTTTGAATTTCATTGCTGAGAGAATTAAATTATCTGGGACCTTGAAAATGAAGATTGATTTTTCTGGCTTGTAGGTGAGAAGGGGTGATATCGTTGTCGTTGGAATTGGAAGAGCTGATTTTGTAAAGGTATGATAGTGTACAAACTGTGTTATTAACACTTAAAACTCTTGCAAATGTTTAGTGTTTTCTAGATACAGTACGGATCAAATGTTGACAGGCTTTCCTCGATCTTATATCCTTGATCCTGGATCCTCCATGCTTTAGACAATAGAGGCTATAGTTTCAAGTTTCCAGGTTCAAGACACCAGAAGAATGTTTCAAGAAACAATCTATTTCACAAATACATAGCAATAACAACAAACAATAGCAAGGAACAAAAGTTATTAAGTAGATTAGTTCCTTGTTTCTTTGACTCAAAACTCAAATGACTCACCTTAAAACCCAAATGACTAGATTGTGATGATTTCTAATTTTTAGGGGGACTGGATTAAGGAGGGTGCAGTGGTCGTCGACTGTGGAATTAATGTGATTCCAGGTAAGATTAATAATGATCCAATACAATAGCTGTTTGCTTATTCTGTTTTGCTGCTCTAAGTGTGGTCAAGATTGACTGTTCAATCATGCAACATGATTTGTTCAATGAGTGGTCAACATTTTCTCATCTAGACCACTCACATTTCACCATTTAGAAAACTAATTCCCCTGGCTGGCCTTAGTTGCGGACATGTCAGGAAAAGAACAAGAGTCAGGCCACTTTTAATTTTTCAAAATCAATCACTTGCTGTACAGTTGTTACTAGGTGAGATGCAAATATTTTTACATGTATAACAAGTCTGTTTCTCTTCTTGCCTTCTT